GTTACCGTCAGTGCTCTATGGAAGGGAAAGGAAGCACGACAACCTTTCACAGAAAACAAATGTGCAACAAAAAAAAAAAGAAATAAAAATAATCCAAACAAAAAAAGGTGTTTTTAATGAAACAACGCTAAATTAAAAGTTTATTCCCCGAGCAATTGTGACCCACCTGTATCCTCTGGTAATTTTCACTCCAATAGCTGATGGCCTGCTCAGTTGTATAATCATGAAACTGGAAATAGAAGCAACAAAATGAAAACAAACTAAACAAAACAATCATTTGTATTTTTCAACAATCAAAAATACAATTGAGATCTAATCTTGGTGATCTGTCTTCAGAAATGTATTTACGGGTGTGGCTTTAGCCACTTGGGCTATGCAAATTCAGGAGGAATCCATCTTTTTGATACAATGCGTGTTGAGAGGCTGAAGTGTGGAACCGGCGTGATTGCCGTGAACACACTGACACAAAGTACTCAAGACCCAAATAGTGTGCGCTCGCATCGTCGACATACTCGGTTGATTTTAGTCGTTTGGGGTACAAATCCCTCGACTCGAAAATCCCTCTGAGTTGTGGTGGCGAAGTCAGTTTGGGGAAGCGGTGGGTTCCGTTCTGCATGAATCTTGTCCCTGCAAAAAAAAACATCATCAAGCAAATATTCCACGATTATATAAATACTTGGATCCACAATGTGTTCTTTTCGGATTGATGACGTTTCCGTTTCTGACAAGATGCAATTTTTTTGCCCTTGTCTCAATTGTACATTGTTGGCCTAAGGCAGGTTCCGGTAAGGGGATCGAAGGTATGACGTTAATAAAATTGTCTTTATTATCATTCTAACAGGTACAGTGGAATTGAAGGTGTAATATTCATGCCTACCGTATTATCTGTGCAATTCTTCTTTCCAAAAGCTCAGACCTGATGCCTGAAGATACGAAGTGGATGAAGAAATAAAGCGAACACTTTAGCCATGTGACTGTTGAATTTTGAACAGCCCCTTAAGAGTGTTTGGCCTGCCAAAAAAAAAAAAAAAGAAAAAAAAAACTACACATA